AATGAAAGTATAAAGCAATTTTAAAAGAGTGCCATATTATGACTTTGTATTTCAGCGGTGTAACTAGAAATGTGATCCATAGACGGTTTACCTGTGAGCTCATTAGAACTACATATTTTCTAGGCCCACTCCAATCTCACTGGATTGGAAACTCTGGGATAAGTCTCAGCATTCTATGTTCACCTATATTTAACATAGCTGATCTTTATGTTCTCTAGAGCTAGGGCAAGACTGCCTTACCATATATTTCACATCAATGATTTATAATACTAAGTGAGGCATAGCAAATTTACAGATGTTTCAAAATCCGGGAATGGTGCCATATTAGTTTAGGAATAAAATAACTAAAATTCTGCAAACTAGAACACTCTACGTGTGTAACAGAAATACAACATGGATGAATGTCAGGCTGTTATACATTAACCATGCATTTATTCAGCAGCAACTACATATCAAATGCTGTGCTGGATAATGAGATGGCTACAAATTTATTTCCTGCCCTCAAAGAATAATTTTTAGGCTAACGTGATAGATATCCACCCAAATAATTAAAAACACAGTAAAGTAAGTGTGCCAGTTATTAAGTTATTTTCTCTCAATTTCGACACCCCTCCCCATATGCTCCTTTTAAAGTTTGAGCTGGGGCTCTGCAAACCACATTTATTGTTTGGCAGTGGACTGCTTAGTAGACACTAAGTTTAGATGCTAAAGGCAAGATTAAAAACTAGAAAAAGAAAAAGGGACTTGTTATTTCCTCATTGCTCCTGTTTGCTTTTTGTTGCTGAAAATATCTCTCCAGCATTAGTGCTTCACCATAAACTGATGGTTTGTGCTGACAGCAGCCACTGAATTGAGTATGCAGGTTTTCCAGTACTAAGGAACGGACCTCTTCATAAACATGACTGCTTCCCCTCCAGGGTCTGCATCCCAGACCCTTAGGGTCTCTGTCCTGAGATAGAAGGAGGAGAAGCTCATAAACCTCTCCTTGAAGCTTCTTAGTTTTAATAACTGCACTCTCCCCTAGTTATTTTTCCGTCCATGTAGGTGGTAGTTGCCTCTGCAGTTACTGCCTTGAAGATTACTTCATGTCCCATTTTGCTTTATAACGTTATCAGATTTATGGATATTAAAATTCCTTCCATTAAATTATCTCTGTTAGAATAACTGCTGAATTTTCTGTCCATTCAATGGACATTGGCTAACACAATAAACGACATAGATAATGATATGGTTAAAAATGGAAAAAAATCCCTTAAGTGTTTTAATCATGAACATGTTTAGCGGAATCAGGCTCATGACAACCACATTTTCAACCACATGGGAACCACATTCCGTTCTGAGCTCAGTTTGGAAATTACTTTCTTTCTCATATGTAGAAAACCCCCATGCAATAAAAAAATGTGTCAGGTAAGACAATACATGATATGGACATCATAGGGAAAATATCTGATACTCTAATCAATAAAGGTGAATAAGGAAGGAAATTGGCTTATTTTGTATTTCTTCAAAAAGCAAAAGTTGACCTAACAGGTTTTAGTGAGAAGACAGATTTTTTTTTTTCTAATATCAACCCTGGGTAAAGATAAAATCAACTTCTGAGAAGCAACAAATACATTTCTTCATAAGAGGCACTCTAATTCATGTTGAGAAACTATTACTTGATATTATAGGGGACATTGTTCAGTTGAAAAGTTCATTGAATTAGATGTACTAGATAGTTTATATTGTGGTGTTGTGATATTGCCATTTGCGTGTTCATTTCATTATGCCCCTTTTCAACAAGAGAAGTGTTTCCTGAAGTGGATAGAATGTGCACAAGGGATAAAGGTAAAGGAGTCAGGTAAAAGGGAAGGGTCCTGCAACATGGGACAGAAGGAAACCTTCATATGTAGCAAAGTAGGAGTTAGGAAAGTAATTATAAGGAACCTGAGCAAATGGGCCGGAAGAAATCCCTCCTATCCCTGGCCCCTTCAATCCTAGTAATGAGCAAGGTCAAAAGCTGCTGCAGCTGAGATTTTGTCCTTGCCTCAGGTTTTATAGACCACATTTGAAATGTTCTGTTCCAGAACAGCATGTACACATCAAAAATGCTTATCTGAGAGATGGTTACTTTTTCCAACCTTATTTTCTAATATTTGCTAAGATAGTTGCAATGACTTTGAAACCTTATATTATGTTGGAACATGATACAAAATATTATTAATATTTCTGACAATGATACTAAAAAGTTTAATAGAATATCACCATCAGTCATAAGAACAGCACAGGTTATTGGAACACATCCTTTAAACATTTACCCAAACCAAATAAATAGACAGCACAAGAATTCCTGGTGTTTATGAGGCATTAGGAACAGATTTCTATAAATGATGTCAAAAGAACAAACCTACATAAGATTGGCAATTATGTTAGGATAAACTGAAAAACATGGTAAGGTTTAAACAGTAATTTTAGGAAAGTCATGTGTAAATATATTTGAAGGAGTAAATTAATATTTATGGGAGCTGTATTATTATTTTACTTTAACTTAGACAATGTTAAAAGGCATATTCTAAAAGAAAAAGAGTAATATCTTAATTGCTGTCTAGACTATGCCAAATATCCCATTATTGGGAAATGTATAGGCGTTTAATGTCACTTAGACACTAACGTGTCGTTAATGATCTGGCTTTATTTCATATGTCAGTACTTCTCATAAATATATTATCAATGAGTCAAAGATTAGTTTTTGTGGAGGACCACCTAGGAGATTCTCCTTGAAGGAGGAGCAATTGTCTCCGTTTTGGTGGAGCCTGACCCTATTTCCATGTATTGATATGTACAGAGCTGGCTGGGACCCTTCCTTATCCCTTCAATTGGCTTTAAGCAATGCATATCAGTCTAGCCAAGGTGCTGATGGTAATCTTTGGAGATGGCAGATGTGTTTCCCTGGACTCCCCCATTGCTCCCTTGAGTGAGCTGGGATGAGACGGGACGTGTGATTTTCATGGGATTACAAATATAAACTTCCTGGGCCATGAGAGGACTGGGAAGTGCTCTCTATAAGTTTTCTAAAAACTAAAGAGTGCACGGGGAAGGCATTACTTCCACACACTAAAAATGGTAAAATTCTTGTGACAGGACACTGTGTAGAATTTTCTAGATATTACTTATTGCAATATATCTCATTTTTCTACCTATCAGATCTTCCAGCTCTAATGATAATAGATACAGTATTATTTTATTTGTACAGATGCAAATGGAGTACTCAGAAGCATTTCACAGGACAGTATTGAATATTTTTCCTACAGCAATTAAAGGTGCCTAAACAATATTGTAGGGTGAAAGACTACCTTTTTCAGTTTACTTGGAATGTAATGTATATTCTAAATGTTCACCATAATGTTACCTGGGCTATGACCAAGACCGAGTTTATCTAATTTCAAGCAGCGTTATTTTCATCGCAAAAGGCTTATAACACTGTGATATTTTTGATGATAGGTGTAAATCCAAATCTTGTGCCCAACAGGTGATAGAATACAGTGATTTTGAGATTTATATAAGGATTTCTATTAAATCGTGATGCTAACAGTGGAACTTTTAATATCTCTGTGTGAATAGTTGAGGTGAGGCCTGACATGGTAGTGTGTGGTAGAATTGGAAGAATATTCCAGAGAATTTGATTTGGACTAGCTCTCTTGAAACAATACAAATACAATAGCGATGAGTTGTTTTCCAGTTTCTGATGGGCTCTGATTATAAAAGTAACAAATCTGTTTACTTCTCAATGGGAGATCTTGTTTCCATGGGGACCAAGCCACCCTCATCTGCTGTTTTGCAGACCACGCTTGGTGCACCACCTCCACTTTGGCAGGACTCAAGATAGCTGAGCACAGCCACTCTGGCACGTGTGCGTGGCCGTCTATAGAGTTTCCTGTCCTCTCCACCCGCTTCCAACAGCACAGCCCGGAGGGGGCTTCGAAGATGTGCCGCTTTCCTCCCACTTTCAAGTTGCATCACTTGTGATGCTCTTTGAAACTGGAACATTGTACACTATTGTGATAAACATCCGCCATGTGTCACAATGTTTCTTCAAGTTAAGTGTCACATTATTTGGCAATACAAATAGGAGCCTATTTTTATTGTTTTAGTCCTCTTATCACAGATTCTGTTCACATCAATGGTATTTCTATACAAATTAGTCAAGATATATCACATATTGGGCAATTTTCTGTATTTAACACGCATTTATTCACGTGCTCAGCATGGATTATTACTAACAGCTGACTACATGGCAAACACTGTGCTGAACATGAAGGGTACGGAGATGAGTCGGGCAGATTTCTTATTCTCAAGTAGCTTACTACCTAGTAGGGATATTTTATAAGAAGTGGCACTTATAAAACACTGTGGTAAATGGAATGGTATGATATTTGCCTTGATAATACAGAACTATAAATAGACTCTCATCTTGTATGAAAGAATCAAGGAAGCTGGAGAAGGCGCCTTAAAGGTAATGCTTTACAACAATGAGCATAGATTAATTAGGTCAAAAGCAGCAGCTTCAACAAACTAATGGAGGAAGGAATCAGCAACTTTGGACTAAGCCAGAGTGTCTGTGCTTGACCAAAAATGGAGCTGGGGAGAGCAGAAACGGTGAGATAAAGTCGGTCCACCAGTGAAATATGAGAAATTTTGGCTTTTATCTAAAGTCATTGATGAAGTGTAAAGAGAACACAAGGAGAAAACAATTGGTCAGCTTTGTGTTTTCAAGTAATTATTCTGAGCTTGTGTAGAATATAACTTTGAAGAAAATGGATATGTTCCACTAAATGAATAAATGGTCTTTTTTTTTTTTAATCTGGCTGAAAACATGGCGTGATAAAAAGCTCAATTTTTAAAATTCAATATTTCACTCAAGAAATCCATGTGCTGTTGAAAAAACAGACATACTAGTTTTATATTTAACATCTGTTTGGCTTAGGGAAGAGAAGGGTGGTGAGCAAAGGACGGACCTGCGAGCCCGAGGGAAGTGAGAAGTGCTGCGGGAGAGGACACTCAGTGTCTGCCAGCTTCTGGCGGACACTGCTCTGATGGACAAAAAGTAGAGACAAGAATATTCTCAGAATTTCAGCCTTCTATCAAACTCAAAAATGTGAGTTTACCCCCATTAGAAGTGAAACCTAGAGATGAGACAGAAATCTCGAAATATGAATAAACTCAGAGATTATTAGTTAAATTGTGTTATTTTGTAGAAATACAAAAAAAAAGGCTGAAAGTTTGAAATGAGGCATTGCTCTTTGTGTAGTTTTCTTGCTTTTCTGCTATGCATTGTCTAGGATTAACAGTAAATTTTGTCACCAGGAGAGTTTGTGAATTATATATGTTTTCTTCTGTTCTTTTCTAGTACAAAAGGCTATATTTTCTAAAAGAGAAGATTTTCTATTTTAATCACTCAAAGTTTTAGAAAAAGTTTGAGAAATTCTGACTCTTCTTAAATTAACACACTTAAAATAACATTTCCCATTACTTTTATTTTCCTTTCCTTTTTAAAAACTATTATTCTGAGTTTATTGAATGTTTAGGATTTTTTTTAGCAGACATGTCTCAATGACCTACTTTGATTAAATAGCATCTTATTCTAGAGAAAGATCTAGTCTAGCCATGTGATCATAGACTATTAGGATAATCTCAGTTTCACTGCTTAGGGAACTAACTTCAGATCACTCAGGTTATCACTGACCTTAATGTTTGTAGTTATGCAAGCAGCAATGCAAACAGCAATATTAGTTTACAACACCATCACAATTGTAGTTTAATAAAGTCTTGAAAGGGGATTTATTGGCTATGTTGCTAGAATGTTAAGAGAAATGAAAAGGTAGGCCATTTGTCTTTCATCCGGAATAGTAATAACTATTATTTGATTTTTCAAATTACAAAATGTGTGGACATTTGTGTGTGGGGGTGCCATTCAGTTCAGTCCTGGGCAATTGAAATGGCTAAATAACACCCATATGGTAAACAGCTTGGTACGCCCAGTATAAAGGAAAAGGTGTTGGCAGTGAATCTATGAAGGAGGCATTATGATTTTTACTCAGAAAGGTGACAGAAATGTCCAGCTTCCAGCTTCTGGGGTGCT